CTCTGCTCCCCCGAGCACTGTGGGCTCACACGAGGCAGACCCTGAACACGCGGGGAGTGTGGCAAGAGCTGCAGTCAGCACTCCCTCGCCCTTCCCCGCCGGGGAGTCCACCTGGGAGGCAGGCCTGGAGTCGAGACTTCCAGCAGCGCTCCCCTTTCCTCGCCCGCCCGCCACCGCTGGGAGCACACACAGGAGGAGAGCCCTTTCCCTTTCGCGGCAGTAAATGCGACAAGCGCCTCCAACAGAAAGCACATCTTTCGTGCCATCGAAACACCTGCCTGATTTGGGAATGAGTTCAGCTCTTCCCTTCCAAATCTCCATCGCTACGGCCGCCGGTGCCCCAGAGGACCCGGGCACCGGCGGCCCCGTGGGCCTGGGTTACAGCAGGGGAAACGTACAGGGCCCAGACGACGTTCCAATCTCAGAGGGCGTTCCTTCTGTGTGAGCGACAGACAGGGCACGTGAGTTCAGGGCCGGCGCCCGGCTTCTAGGTGAGGAGTTGCGGAGCGAGGCCTAGAGCACAGGTGGATCGCCTAGTACAGGGCCAGGCCCGAGCAGGTGTCCAGAAAACAAGGTCCTTTACCACTGTGCACGACTGACACTCAACAAGTGGCTTGACAGTTGAGGTGCTGGACTTCCACATGGGCGACTACAGTTCAGGTCCTGAACCTGGAGGTTTGCCTTCTCAATTTCCCTCTCTCTCTGTCTCCCTCTGGTGAGTGCATGTGCCCTATGGCAAATTATTATTTTTGAGAGATTTTTGCCATAGGGCTTGCTCACTCGCTGAAGAGATAGAAAGATAGAAAGCAAGAAATAACCCGTCTAGGAGATGGCCACACTGCAATCCCTTCGCCAACCCAAAGGGAAGAAGGCTGAAGAGCGGGCCCCATGACGCAAAGTCAGAGCAGACAGCGTGGGAGCCACAGGCTGTGGGCAGAGAGCCCGGGGTGCCATCAGCACGTGAGGCAGTGGATGTGGCTGGGGACTGGCTGCGGGGCAGTAATGCAGGGCACCAGTGCCAGGGAGCCCCAGGCGTTGGCTTTCCCAGCCCAGGAGAGCAGCAGGGTCCCAGGACAGCCCAGGACCCTGCTCCCCACACCCTGGTAAGCTCCCCGCCCTGGCTGTCTCAGGCCCCAGGTGAGCTCCCCGTCTGAGGCTGCCGCCAACCTGGAGGTTTGCCTTCTCAATTTCCCTCTCTCTCTGTCTCCCTCTGGTGAGTGCATGTGCCCTATGGCAAATTATTATTTTTGAGAGATTTTTGCCATAGGGCTTGCTCACTCGCTGAAGAGATAGAAAGATAGAAAGCAAGAAATAACCCGTCTAGGAGATGGCCACACTGCAATCCCTTCGCCAACCCAAAGGGAAGAAGGCTGAAGAGCGGGCCCCATGACGCAAAGTCAGAGCAGACAGCGTGGGAGCCACAGGCTGTGGGCAGAGAGCCCGGGGTGCCATCAGCACGTGAGGCAGTGGATGTGGCTGGGGACTGGCTGCGGGGCAGTAATGCAGGGCACCAGTGCCAGGGAGCCCCAGGCGTTGGCTTTCCCAGCCCAGGAGAGCAGCAGGGTCCCAGGACAGCCCAGGACCCTGCTCCCCACACCCTGGTAAGCTCCCCGCCCTGGCTGTCTCAGGCCCCAGGTGAGCTCCCCGTCTGAGGCTGCTGCCACACCATCCTCGGATGTGAGACCTGGTGGCCTGCCTAGCAGAGCTGCAGAAGACCGCCCTGAGCACCCAGAACTGTGGAGTGCAGCACGTGCCTGGGAGAGCTGAGACACCAACTGCGCCCAGCCTCTGCCGAGACGTGGCACTCGGGGTTCCAGGGTGAGACGCCCAGCCTCTAGGTTCGGGCTTGCTTGGGGCTGTTCCCATCCCATCTGTGGGGTGGGAGTCCCTGCCCTTCCCCGCTGTGCACAGCACACTGAAAGCGCGTCATTAGTTTAATCTCAGGCTCACGGCTGGAGGTCACCTCAAGACCCAGAAGCAGCTCTGGATGTGGGAGCTGATGTGGGAGCAAGCTGAGACTTTGGGGCCACTGGGACGACTCTGTACGAGAGAAGCACATGAACCTGGAGGCCAGGAGCAGAGCGCCATCGTTCAAATATGTCCCCGAAAACTCAGGTGTTGAGACACCGCAATGGGAGGGCGAGAGTGAGAACGCGACCCAGGCATGCTGTTGAAGGTGGGGCCTTGTGGAAGAGATTCGTGAGGGGCAGTTAGGGCGGGCGGTGGCCGTGACAGTGACGGGGCCTGGGTTACAAGGAGATAACGGCGGGTGGGCGGGGCCACGTGCACGCACACCCTCTCTGCGCTGCCTGAGCGCCGCTCTCAGCTTTTCCGCGTTCTCGGGACCTTGCAGCCACTGGAGCCCTGCATCCACGAACTTGTTTCTATAAGTGGCCCCGTCTCAGCTACTTCTGTGAGCAACACGTGGTACTGAGATGGGCTGTTTTTGTAAGACGAGGTTCTTCTAAGATATGAAGCCTTGGGGCCAGCAGATGACGTAGCAATTATGTCACTGGCCTCCCACATGGTTGATCATGGTTCAAGGCCTAGATCCGGTGGCTTGAAACTCACGCCAAGTATGCGTGTGCGTGCCCAAGATCCTGGGAGGAGAATGGAAGAGAAGGGGTTGTGGTGTGGCCATCCCCCCGGGGGGTGATTTCTCACTTTCCCTCTCACTGTCTCTCCCCTCCCCACCCCCAGTCAGGGAGCACTAAGGGAAAAACCTCTAACGGAAAAAGAAAAGTTAAGCTCCCAAGTCGTAAAAGAACAAGAGGACAGATTTACCACGTCAAACTTTGGCGCACACGTGGTGAACAGCAACAAGCAGCAGAGGAGAGGTGTTCACACGGCATGCAACACAGGAGGGCAGGACACGCTCCCAGGCAGGGCGTGGCCGTGTCTCCTAGCAGGGATAAAGCCCGACCAGTGGGACTGGAGCCCACCTCATTCCTCTGAGAGCGTACATGCTACAGGAATCAGGAAAAAGACAGACCCTGCAGCAGGGGCGGCATGGCTACAGGAGAGACCCTGCGCTGACGCAGCGACCACACTCCACTGTCACGCTGCCACGTGGGGATCGGAGTGCAGTCCTCCTGCTGGCTACTGGACTGGCCCCACCCCTGCAGCTGGCGACGTCCACTGCCAGCAGGGGCACAGGGAGTCAGAGGAATGCCAGCTTCCTAGAAGCATCTGCTGGGTCACCCAGAAAGTCACGTGCATTTTTGCATAGAGGAACACATCATGACTTTCCTGGTGGCCTCATAGTTCCTGTTCTTCCTTCCTTCCTTTTTTTTTTTTGGAGAGGTTTTCGTTACAGGGTGCATGGGCTCGCCAGAGAGACAGAGAGACAGAAAGCGAGAAATCACACCCCAGGGGGGAGGCCATGCCGCAATCCCTTCTCCTCCATTCTCCTCTCGGGATCTTGGGCACGCACGCACACGCACCCAGTGTGAGTTTAAGCTGCTGGGTCCGGGATTCGAACCACAGTCGACTACATGGGAGTCCAGTGACATAGCAATACGCCACCTGCGGGTCCCATAAAAGTTCCTTTTTAAGTAGATTTCCGCTGCGGCTTCACCCCACTTGTCGGAATCAATCCCACACACGTCATCTTGGCCCATGAAGATGGGAGGACGACAGTCACTGCAGTGTTGCAGACAAAAGACGGAAAACGGCCCCCTGTGCCCACTGAGGGACGGGGCGCTCCTTCTCATCCACGTACTTCTTCAAGGTGGGAGAAACCTCTGCTTTTGGTGTTCTTAAATACTTCTCTCGGATAACAAGTTCTGCACAGGGACCCCGCGAGAACCACTCGGAGCTCCCCCTTGCGATGGCGAACCCAGTCTTCACCCCTCCAGGGCCCACATGCTGCTCCCTCGCTCCAGGTCCTCCTGATCCGCACCCTCCGGCCAAGCTTGCCACCCATCCGCCCACGTCTTCCCAGCGCAGGGGCCCAGCTTCCCAGAACACGGACGCCTGGCAGGCAGGGCAGCGCCCCCAGAGGCGGCAGGGAGCAGTGAGGGCAGGGAGCAAGCTCCCAGGCAGGGCATGGCCGTGTGCAGGACAGCCCCTGGGCCGTGTCTACTGCAGGGATGCCAAGCCCGTGCCCAGGGGCTGTGTGTCACGGGTGCTGTGAGGAAGTCCTGCCCAAAGGCAGGGGCAGAGCATTCCCCAGATGCGATGAGCCGGGCATAGTACACACATCCCGCTCAGTGGCCGGTGGGTGTGGAGGCTGGGCGGGGTTTAGGGACTCACAGCTGGCACAGGAAGAGTCCGGAGGGCAGCACCCCAACATTTACCTGAACAGGACTCCCCTCCCCCCCCACAGTGCCCAGTCTGGGTCAGTGACTGGCTGGCCTTCAGGACCCCGCTCCAGGCTAGGGACAGGGCATGGTGTCCTGAGATGAGCAAAGCCTGGCATGAGGGCTCCGTTTCTCCTGAGGAATCCCCACAGCTCTCGCTGTAGGAGGCTGGGAGGAGTCTGATCGCTCCCGAGGGGACAGCGAGCGAGGCTGGGAGTCAGGGGAGGCCCACCTGCAGGTCCGCAGGTGCCCGTGTGCACACTGCACCCAAGCTTCCAAGAGTGGCGTGCACAGATGCGGGTGCGAGTGTGGGCGTGCACATGTGCACTGCGACTCACCAGCTCAGGCTGTGAGGTGACGCTTCTGGCACCCGAGGGTGTGGGCACGTGAGCACAGGCATGGACACGGCGTCACTCTGTGGCCACAGGTGTGCGAGCGCGTGTGTGCTGTCGGCCTGTGTCCACACAGTCCCGAAGCCTCACCTGGAGGCTCACCTATGACCGTCTCAGCTCTCACCCACCCTGCCAGCGGCCTTGCTTAGGACAGCCTGGCACTGGGGCCGCCCTCCCCAGCGAGGTGCCCACCCCCCTGCCCACTGCCCTGCCCACCAGCCCACCTCTCTGACTTCTCAGCTCCTCGTTCCCTGGGAACTGTGACCCCTCTCCACCCCCACACCCAGGCTCAGACCCCAGTCTCAGGACTCAGAAGTGATTTTATTTCTCCATAGAAGGTGCCCTTCTGGCCAGGTTTTGGGGCCATGCCTGACCTGGCCTCTGTTCCCCATGGGCACCTGCAGGTCCCAGCCCCTGCCCTCACCCCAGGCCTCCTGCTCAGATGCCTGGTTTTCTGGTTCAGAGCTGGTGGAGTAGCAGGGAGGTCTGGCCACCGGGGAAGGGCCAGGGCCAGACCACGGGACCGGCCAAGGCCGCCCCAGTCCTGGCCATGCTGGGGAGGGGGCAGCGACAGGCCCAGGAACCAGCTCCGAAGCCCTGCAGGAGGAGGGCGGTCAGGGACCAGCCCAGAGGAGGGCAGGCCCCATGCCGAGCAGGAGCCCCGCGGCCAGGGCCCAGGGGCTGTGCCCCGCCCCGGCTGCCCCGTTGCACAGGTCCCCCCGGCAACAGTCCACGTCGACCTTTAAGATCCCCGAGTTAATGAACCCCATCAGGTAGTCCGAGAAGAAATGCCGTCTGACGAAGTCGCAGGACGAGGCACACATCTTGTTCACGGAGTGGTCCTTCCTGCCTGGGGAGAAGTGGGGGCCTAGGCCTGGCGCTCCACCAGCTCCCCCCTCCAGATTGACTCGGGACCCTTCTACCTACCCACACTGTCCCCATCTCTACAGAAAGCCCGCCAAGGGGCTGGGGTGAGGCACCTGCTGGCTGCCCCACAGCAGGGCAGCCCCTGGCCCAGCCCACACCCTTGTCCCGGCCAGAGACCTTGGGGGACGTCCCCAACTGTCTCCAGTCTGGCTTCCAGCAGCACCCCCACACACCAGGTCCCCACTTACTACTGCTGGGATCGGTGATCCGGACGCTGGCACACACCGTGTCTGACGGCTGACACTGCTTTGGGGCACAGTGGCTGGAGTTGGTGGTCAAGGTGCAGTCCTGGCACCACAGGCCCTGAGCTGGGCAGGACACCGGCAGGAGGAGGGTCAGGACAGCTGGAGGCCAGGCCAGCCTCCCCCTACTCCTTGGCCCTCTCTGCCTGCAGCCGAGCATGCCCAGATGGGAGGCTCAGCTCCCTGGTCAGGAATGAGCAGGCCAGACGGACCTGGAGACCAGGTCCTGACAACCTGCCTGCTTCTAGGTGCTTGGGGGCTCCCAGGACTCCAGAAGACCCCACGGCCCTTTCCTGACCCCACACGCGTGCGCACACACACCTACACATATACAGAGGCGCATCTCACACCGCACACTCCCACTGGCACCCCTCCCCCGCCCCAGAGTTTGGTGGGCCTGGGCTATGAAGGATCAGACCAGCAGCGCTGGAGACCTGCTGGGGCTCAGAGAAGCCATGGAGCTCCAGCACCAGCCGGCAGGGCCAGGGCATCTCTGCAGGAGGAGCCACTGGGAGGAGAGGTGTTCGGGCCCCCTCAGATGCTGGCAAAGGTCCGTTAGGCTGAGTGGGAGGGAATGAGGGCCTGGCTGCAGTCGCAGGGGTCAGGAGGGGTGTGGGCTTCACAGGAAGAGTGAAGGCACCACAAGAGGAAGGAGCCCCCCC